GGACACAAAAACACTAATTTGAAAGGCAGCCAGCACCCCTATGTTCACTGCTGCACTATTTACACCAGCTAAGGTATGTAAGACACTAAACGCCCCAAAACAGGTGAATGGATCGCGAAGGTATGGCGTGTGTACACACACACACACACACACACACACACACGCTAGAATACTATTCAGCAATCAAAAAAGATAAATCGCAGGCCATTTGGGGCAACTTAGATGAACATGAAAGGGGTTATGACAAGCCAATTACGTCAAAAGGAGAAAGATAAACGCCAGATGGTGTTCCTCAAATGTGGAATAGACACACCAAGCAGTCATAAAAGGCAAACCTTAACACCAACCGACCACAGAGCAGAGGCAGAGGAAGGGGAGAGGACCAGGAGAGGGAGGGGAAGCTCAGGGGGCTGTGGGGAAGGGCTACGGGTGCGTGGGGATGTATTTCAGTAAATCCGCCTGTTCTGTGCCCTACTCTGTCTCACCCCCAGCACCTCTGGCCTGTACCCCAGTTCTTGTAGGCATGAATAAATAAAATCTTTTTTAAAAAGGGCCTGAGACTTCTGATTAACAAAGAGGAGAATTTCCATCAGGGTGAATGAATCTCCCTTTAGTAGGCAGAGACCATCCCAATCCAAACCCCACCCAAGCATTGCTTTACGTGTTGAGGAACATCACAGAAGAGGCGGGGGACGGCAACAAGACCCCCACAGAAACGAGAGATGCAGCTGATGTCATGCTCAAAGCCCCCAACTTTGTGAAAAAGAAGGTCTTTTGACATTTCTGTCACATAGTCACCATCTCAACATCACGTGCGGCAACATAGGAAATTAAGTGAAAACAAAATAGGGAAACGCTTTTATTTTTCTCTTTTACACGTTGTGCCAATGTAAAATGATACCTCTGGAAGAGGAAAGCTCGTGGATCCATTCGGTGTGCAAAAGAAACAACAGGACAATGAGCAGAGCGAGCCGGCGTGAGCCGCGTGAGCAGGAGTAAGTAAGGGCAGGCCCAGCCCAGACTGGCCTTCCTCCCGGCCTCGCCAGCAGGATCTGCTCCGTCACCTAAGAGGTGGTTTCACGCTCACTCGTGATACGAAGTGGACAGTTTTCACTCTCAGTGCTTGTGACAGGCTAATATGCCCCAGACCACGTCCTCAGGGCTGCTAAGGTCTGGCCCAGCCAGCCTCAGGCTCTGTGTTTACTGGCAATAGGTTAGAACAGCAAAGAGGAACCACTTTTTGAAAATGAAATGCATGGAGGTGCAGCTTCGAGGCTACCTTCGGGCCCCCTGGGGAAGCGGCAGCTGGTGCAGGCCCAACCTCCACCTGCACAGCCCACAGGGCTGCTTCACACCCACGCCTAGGTTGCTGCGCACCTTTGCAGAGCAATCTTCATAAACTAAACAGGTGACTCCACTAAGGTTTTCCATATTTATTCTTCAAGCGTTACAGGGGCATCTGCTCCGGAAAATATCAGAAGCCTCTAAATACCAGGATTGCTAGGAAACAAAGCCCCGCCAAACGGAGCCTACCTTTTTTTGAGAAGAAATGTTTGATTCCTCATGGGCCAAGTGTGTGGAGAAGACTGACCAAAGGTTCAGCAGCGCGGTGCTGGAAACTGGTCCCCAAGAATGTCTGGTGGGTTCCACCAGCGCGCTGCTCTCAGCTTGCCCACCGAGCCCCCTTACTACAAACAAACAGCATAAAACCCACAAAGACAACAAGCACCAGCGACAGGTAGTGGAGAAAGAAGGAAGCAAGGAGAAGGCTAATGGGCCGCCTCCTCGCCGGCCTTGAGAAAGGCTGGCAGTGGTAGCAAGCCCTACAGCAGACGCGCTGGTCCTGAGAAGCGGCCCTCGGGCTCCCGCCAGAGTCTGCACGTCAGACCTCTGTGCCTGGAGCCAATGGCAGAGGCGGACTTTGGAGACAGGGTCAAATGCTGCAGAAGAGAAATTTAGCCTCCTCTGTTTCTTCTCCTCCCTGTGGGCCAGGAGAGACCTAGAACTAGACTAGGTGGGCTAGACTAGCCCTGTGGGCTAGACTTCCTAGCGGAAGTACGGAAGCTTAGCGTCTGCAGAGGCCAGACGTCGAGTATGGGCAGCACGCACTGTAGTGAGCAGGCCGGCTGCGGTGCAACGAGGAAAATAAATTAATATTTGCACAGTACCTTTGAATTCTCAGAACTCACCTAGGTTTCTACCATCTTGGCAGGACAGTAGAAAAGCCTCCCGGGGCCCTCCTCTTGGGTGGTGCAGCGGGTTAAAGCGCAGCACTAGAAGCTGTCTGCAGCTACTGCAGCAAGAGTTCGATCCCCGGCCACGGGGCTGACCCACATGGTGCAGCAGACCTCTCCCGTCTCACCCGCTGCTCCCCTCAGCAGCATATTTCAGTAGATCTGCCTGTTCTGCTCCCCACTCTGTCTCTGGTGAAGGCTCTCACCCCCTGGACTACTGACCTGTACCCCAAAATGGGGGAAGAGGGGAAGTAGGGAGAAAAAAGACCTTCCAGGGGGCAGTGGAGTGTTCGGAGAAATCAGAAAATATGTAAAGATACTGAAGAAGGAGTCCCAGGCTCCCCCACAACCCAATCACCATTCAGGAAACCCCACACTGGGAAAATTCTAGATAGGGAGAACAAGCTTCTGATCAGCTAAGTAAGGGCAGACAGTCAGGGCTACATAGATACTTAAGGACAGCTTTTTAAATAGAAGCCAAAACAAATGAAAAAACAATCTTTGGGAAACCAAAAATAGGAAAGATCAAATCGTTCACAAGTTAACATCTCCAGAGAAATAAGCATACCGCTATAAAATAGAAATGTGGTACTCTATATTTTAATGTGGGCATTCAATGATCAAAAAGGAGACACCGAAAGCTAACACAAGCTAAAAGAAATAATCTCAACAGAAAGTTTAAAGGATAAAAATGAGGTTCTCATCCACACATCGGGCAAAATCAGAAATGGTACAGAAAAAAAAAAACGAGAAAATTAAATACTATAGGAGGGCCTATAGCCAAAAAAAGAAAAAAAAAAAACGAGAAAATTAAATACTATAGGAGGGCCTATAGCCACACAACCACCACAAAGAAACTATTACATGATTCAAGAAATTCCCCAAGAACTGAAGAACATTAATTCCAAGACAGAACAGGCCCTCTCAACCTCTGCACACTCAATTAAAAAGGATGCATGCCTCCTGTGCCCGCAACTGTACAACACTGCTCCTACGTGTCCAGAAAAAAAGGATTGAAAGATGGAAAGCATCAAACTGCTAGCCCTGATATCTGAGGGGAAAAATGGTTTCCAACCTAGAGTTTTAGCTCCAGCCTGGTATTCAATTCATCAGAAAATAATAAAGGCTGCCGCTCCCATAAGGACACATAAAGTAACTCTCTTGCCCACTATCTTTCATTATGGCCATTTGAAGATGGATTCTGACAAAATGAAGGAAGAAATGAATAAACAAGGTGAAACAGGTCTCAAGAAAAAGGGTAGATGCAAATAGAGCACAGGAAATCCCCAACATGATGTAGAGGCAGGTTAGACTGTCCCAAGAATTATTCCTTGAAGGTGAAATCTAACAGTCGCTCAATATATGGTGATCATACAGAAAAAGGAGTTTACGTACTGTGTAAAAACTTAGGGATGATTGCATGATAACTATATGAAAAAAAATCAAACCAACTGGAAAGTGAGAAAACTGAGCAAACAGAATGAGGCAATTTTTAATTCCAAAGGGGGGCGGGGGAGGCAAAATGATTCTCGTGTGTACTGTGCTATTCAACTACAACATAGCCCTAATAATTTAAGCGTGGAATACAGACATACAGACGGTTGGCTTTTCTGTAACTTATTGGGAGAACAGAAATGACCTGGGGAGGGTTAGACAGAGGAGAGGGTTATGTGTGAGTCCAGTGAAAGGGAATTAAAACCCCAACTTGGATCAATACACAGTGAAAAGTCTAGGTTTGATAATGTACACAATTTCATCTAGAATCATGGAAACTACCAAGCAGTGGCTAAGAAAATTACGGTGGCAGTTTCTGACGTAGAAATGGAGGAAGGACGGTACAGAAGTGCTATTTTTTTTTTTTGCAACAATTCCCATGCAGATATATTTTTTTCATTACATACTATACACATATTACTTTGATTTTCAAAACCTAAATTAGAAATAACTACTACCACGCCCAATAGTTTAACACTCCACAATTCTAGAAACCTCTAGGTCATTCCTGCCTGTCTAGTACTAATTCCAGCTTGAATTTTGTTCACTAAAGTCACATGGTAGAATTCTTCCTGCTTACATAATATACTATTTTTGCTGGCTTGTTAAATGGGGAGGTCAACATGACTGACGTTATAACTGAGAATATCAGGCTTACTGAACAGCTCTGAATTCTGAGGTCTTGCTCCTGACCACCAGTGCATTAGACAATGAAGGAACATACAGCATCCCTTCTCACTAATAACTGAGAAATCAGTAAGTGTGTATATAGGTAACTTCCTTATCAGATAATCATGTGAAACAGCTATCAACAGACATTGCCATCTCCACACCACTCAGATGTCCCCTCAAGTTCAAACCTCCTGCTTTACCACATTTCCATCCGATTTCCGTCTCCATGACAATCAACTCTGATAACCAATGAGGCACCAAATGGACTCAGCATTTCCACGAAACTAACGTTTCAACACACGTCTCTGACATGATTTGGAGGTCTCCAGATTTCAACAGAGATGCCAAAGGCAGCCTCTACTGAAAAATTGACCCGATTAGCGAAGTCAATAGTTGTGTGAAGAGACTGCTGTCTGGCAAAGCCTCACAAGCGTGTCACCCTCATTCAAAAAGCGTCATCACTCTTATTCTTCCCCGGGAAGAATCAAACTTTACGAGAGAGTGACTCACTCTGGGCATCGAGTCCCAAAGGTGTTCTTTCTCCCACCCTCAAGAAAACCATCTGGTAAATAATGTTTTCAGGAAAAGAAAGCAACTTACCTTTCACAAGCTCGCACAGTCCACGCAGCGATTATCCACAAGGAGATACTGAACACCAAGAGCACAGTACCTGGGCAGATAGTCATTAGGGTCTTCATAACAAAACGCGTATTGAAGTTTATCTTATTAAGTGCTCCGATGCTTCTAGATGAGGCATCTGTGAAAAGTTTGCTATGTAAAAGCATGACTCTGGCGATGAGATAGAGTCTTAAGAACATTGGTATCGATAAAATAATGTCCACATCAGCGGTGGTGGTGGATGGGGCATAGGAGAAGGCAAGTCGGGCTGTCCACGTGAACGTGTACTTCCCAGGTATGGGGTGAATAGCACACACCAGTATTTCCAAGCAGATGAAAAAAATACGCTCATAAGTCATGGCTATTCTCCAGTCATCTGCTCCATTGTCCACCATGAACAACTGAAAAAGGAAAGGAGAAAAGCAACTTCAGTATGCCGGGAAGGGTCTGGAAGGGTGAGTGCAGGTTTTTGAAACACACGACAGATGGCGCTGAGCAGTCACGGCCAGCTATCCAGGTACACTGTTTCTGGGGTGTGGTTTTAGGCTTTTGAGAAAATGGTAGTGACACACACAGGGAAGCCTTCATTTTAGAGACGTTAAAGCGGAAAACTGGCTATATGGGCGCTCAACTTACAGGTAGGAGCATTTGGAAATAAGAGCCCATGCCAGGCGGTTGGGCTTCCCCCCAGCCCCAGGATGAAATCCGAATGGAGTTGGTTGATAAGTGGTTCTTGTCTTTCAGGGGCTGGATCTAAATCCGTAGCACTGGTAACTATGTTCTCTGGGCATCAATTTAGGGTGTCCTGCGATGAGACCGACCCCACACATAGTGCCCACACACACGAGTGTCCTTACTGGAAGTCAGGTTCATGGCTTCAGCGAGAAAATCACAACAGAACACACACAGATGTGCAGAAACCTATCCCTCAGCTTCCTCACGTCTACATGATCTCTTTTCTTCTAGCCCCCTTCAGCCTTCTCCTGGATTATTAATTTGTTTTCAGCCTTTAACAAAAACTCTGTTTGAGGTATTGTTGTCATTTCCTCATACCACAATGGAAAACAGAATTTTAAAAAGTTAGGACAGGAGAGAAATGAGAGAGGCTGAGGGGAGGGGAGGGGAGGGGAAGTCAGCATTTCCTCTTTTCCTTGACATTCGGGGAACCCAGCCCACCAGACCCTCAGGAACACCCACAAACATATGGGAATTAGGTTGGCATCATTTTTGACTGCGGTGTGACTGGCATTTAGAGCCCAGGAGCCAGGGGTGCCAACCACATGGAATTTCTGGAGTCTCATGTACCAGAAAGACCTGTCTGCCCAGAATGCCAGGAGTATTCCCCCCTCTGAGAAAGGTGAGATAGTCTTTGCCTTTGGCAAGTAGCCAACTTAAATAGAAAGCATGAGATGAAAAGAACACAAGGGTACCCGTGCGGTTAAGTGGGTGGCTAAGCAGGCAGGCAGGCCAGGTCTCTGAGAGGGGGGTGCTCACTCCGCTGCTGCTCTGGAGCCCCAAGGCATCTTTCCCCACTGCTGAAACGGTTACCAGTTCCCACTCCACTTCACAGTTCTTCAGGTCAGAGCTCCTTCCCGCGCTGTCATTCAAAGCACCCACTATCGTCGGTCTTACTTTTGAGGCCGGAACTTCCACTTCTCTTACCTCAAGGAATTGGGGGCTCAGGGGACTTCTCGAAAACATATCAAAGTGCAGACAACAGATGAAGCTAGTGGAAGATAAGGGCTCTGCCTCTGCCTTTAACACAACTTTCTATGTGGAGACCTTAACGTGCCTGACACATACCAATGATAATACAAATTCTAATTTTCCAGGTTCCAGTGAAGACACATCATCAGTAAGCCAGGCCAAGTTGGCCTTAGAAATATTCTTGCTTGGTCTCGCCACTCCCAGGACGACATTGAGATAAAGGAGCTCAAAGTCATCTAGAAGACTCTATGTATTTACTGAGTACTGCCTATTTCTAAAGGAGTACGCCCCCCCCCCCCAATTGCTTCAGACATCTGTATCCAATTTGTCTCTTTCGATCTAGGTACTTTGAGAGGACACGACTACTTCCCTGATGTGGTCACTGCTCAGTTTGGGAACTGCTATCAAGGCCTAAGAAAAGGGGTATCGTCACAGAAGAAAGGGGTATTGTCACATAAGGAGTACTGTTATTTAGACCGACATCCCCACTTCTACCAAAAATGGAACTACCCAGTTCGATGGTCTACTGTCTTCAACAGTGAGCGCCTTGGCTAAACACCAAGTCGAAAACATATCAGAGTGCAGACAACACTTCTTCTTCTCTCTACAGCATTTGTCTAAAGCTGTGTTATCCCTAAATCCAGGTCTCCTGCACCTAGACCCATATTTTCTGTGTCCTCCCACTCAGCAGAGCATCAAGCCAGTTTAAGTCTCTACATTTCACTAAAAACAAAATAACACAGATTGAGGACCCGGCTGGCTCTGCCTGCCCAAGGTTGTATTCATGTTCTCATGTCGCTTTCACACCCCAACACCCCTATGTGGCTCTTGTCTCCCTCACCCACCAACACTACACTTGTCAAAGTCATCAAAGATAGTTGAGTGATGAAATCCACTCCTGCCACTTTAGCTTTTATCGCACTGGATCCACCTGCCATTCATCACTCCTTCCTTCCTAAAAAAATTCTCCTCCATAGCTTTCTGGGACACCTTGCACTTTTCACCTGCTGCTCCTCCAAGGTATCCAGCTCATTTCTCTCCTAAAGCCCCTGCTCTACTATGGGCCAGCTCGAGTCTTCCACACTCTGTTCTGTCCTGGGTGATGAGTCCCCACTGCCCATCTGCACGGATAGATGCCTTCTGCCAGAAGCTCTCCTGCTCCTCTAATGCCTTCCCACAAGAAGCTCATCAGAGAAAATGCCACTACTCCATGAGGAGAACTTCAAAGCCCCGGTTCCACAACCAGTGTGTCCATCTGGTCTACCTCTTTGCCTCCTGCCCCCTTGCAGGTCCCTCTAATCATGTTCCTTTATCTTTGCACACTGTGTCCAAACTCCCCAGCCTCTGTTTAGAACACTGTCCATGTCACAGTCAAATCAGCAGACTCCCTCCTCTACCCTACAGTGATCCCTGCCTGTGCCTCTTTCTGGTGCTGTCACAGAGGATGAGGCTTTCTCTGTAAGAAGGTCACCTCTACTTCTCGGCGAGGCTCCTTTGGGGACAGGGACTATGTCCACCTAGTAGAAAACAACCAATCCTTCTTAAATCAACGGTCCTGTTATTATCCATATTCACTGCCCAGAATCGCGGAGTAGGTCCCAGTGTTAGTTAACACGCATCTGACAGAGAGGGAACTAATGCGCCACTCAAGAGAAATCAACGGATGACATTTTTGAAATGTGGTGCAAACAGACCACCATAGGCTAAGTCACTGCAGCAGCAGGATTTTGCAAAACCACAGGAAACCCAGAGAATATCCTCCTTCAGTGATTCCCCGGAAAAAAAGCATCTACTACGGAGGTGCTTTTTATTATCAACAACTGAAATGATTTCAAAACTGGTTTTATTGTACCACAGGACACATTTAGAGAGACATGGTATGTCTTCGGCTTCCCGGGGTTCCCACCCTTCACTGTTGCTCACTGTTTATGGACCCTCCAGACTCCTGGGCCACAAACTGAGCTGGGCACCTGCCATGCACGTGGGGTGTGGAGGTAGAGGGAATGGGGTGCACGCAAGTCAGCAGTAGAGGGAGGCGGCCTCACGCCAGGAAACGAAGAGGGTCAAGAAAGCACACTTAAAGCAACTGAATAAAATAATCATGCCTGTGGGCGCTTCAAAGGAGGAAACAAAGAGGAGATCAAACAACAATATACTGGAGGTGACAGCAGGTGTGGTCATCAGGAAAGACCTCTGAAGGAACCCCATTTCAGGCGCGACCTGGGTAAAGAGCAGAGCAGGCATGTCAACAGCCAGAAGGAGAAGGGCCTCCCTGGCTAACAGCCTAGATGCTGAGGAAATCAAAGTGGCAGAAACTTAATGGCCAGGGGCAGAGTGAAAGGGGATGACGTGAAGAGACACACAGTGACGAAACATGTCAGATCCTGTCGGCCATGGCACCAAGGCTGGATTTCATCCCAGGTGTCAAGAGAAACCCAGGCAGGGTAGGGCAGAGACACGACGGGACCTGATTTGCAGCGGAAAGGGCTCGTCCTTTCTGCTCTGGGGAATCCAGAGCAGAGAGAGGCAAGAATGGAGTGAGGAACCCAGGTAGGCAGCACAATCGCATCTGATTGGTTATTGTTAGTATTCCCATGACCTGGACCAGAGAAGTGGGGGTTGCCATGGAAATGGAGATAGTGGGTGCACTAAAGATACAGTCTGGAGATCTTGCTAGAACTTGCTGATGGGCTGCAGGTGGGAGGAATGAGGGAGCGAAGAGTCATAGATGGCTGGGTTTCCACTTTGAACAGCACGGTGCAAGGCAGCGCCATTTCCGGAGTTCACTGGGCAGGTGCTGGGGTGGGGGAGGAGACGAGTTCTGTTTTGGCCACCGTCATCTGAGGATAGATGCCAAGTGGGAAGCTTTAACATGCAAGTCACTCATAGGAGAAATCTGGACCGCTGAGATAAATTTGGAAGGCATCGGTAGTTAGGGAGTTCTATGAGCTCAGAGGAAACATTAGAGAAAATGAAGAGGGAAGGACAGAACTCAAGGCCAAGTCCTGAGCAGCCCTAGGTGTGGAGGGCAGAGAGAAGGTCAAGCTGGCAGGAAGTAAGAGAGCAAGAAGCTGGCGGCCTGGGGAGCCCAGTGTACTTCGCACACGGTGAAAGGTGTTTCTCAGGCGTAGGGACAAGCGAATGCTGCCTATATCCTCTGGAGAAAACGGAAACACTTGAAATATCACAGTAATTCAGCTACTGATGCCTTGCCAAGTATTAAAATCTAACGGTGCAACGTATTCCCATTACCTTCCCCATATGAAGGATGTCATCTACAGGGTTGGATGGAAGCTCGCTGGCGGGGGAGTTAGAGGGATCAGAACGAGAGCTATTAACGCCAGCATGCATTACTTACACACTGACAAAATCGAGATCTTAGGGCAAAATTAAAACAGTCTAACCTCCTCTCACTCCAGAACAGGGGGTCATGGTCTTGACCGGAGGTGGAAGCCAGGTGCAGGTTCAACGAGAACTCTTGCCTGGTTACCTACACAGCCACAAGGCCGAGCTCTGCTGGGGTTTGTTCAGATGCCCCTGTCCAGGCCGAGCAGGCACTGACAGTCACCCCACAGGAAGCCCTGGGGTCGGGGGGTGGGGTGAGGAGCACTCCTAGGAGTTAGGGGCTGGTGGCAGGAGTCTCTCGTGCCTTTTCTGGGTGAGGAGGAGGGCGGTTTGGAATGGCAGCTCACAT